AAAACCATGCGTACAAACATTCTTTTAGCCCTCGATACCCGTAGGGCAAGACAAGACGGCTCATACCCGCTTATTATGAGGCTCGGCCACCAACGCCGCACAGCGCCTATTTCTTTAGATATTTATCTGCAAGCAAAGGACTGGAACGAAGAAAAGCGCCTTGTCCGTAATTCTTACAGTAATGGCGATGAAACAGCCACCCGACTTAATAACAGGCTTGCGAAACAACGAGCGAAAGCTATTGACCTGATTGAAAAACTTGAAGCCGCGCAAAAGTTGCAAGGAATGAAGGTTTCGGAATTGAAAGCTTTCATTGAAAAATACATCGACAAGGAAGAAGAAGACCCGGTCGCTATAGAGCAAAAGGAACAAGCGCCCAAACCGGCGACATTCTTTGAGCACAGCACACAGATTATTGCTGGACTGACGGAGGCAAAGCGCTTAGGCACCAGAGACAGCTATCAGGATGCCGTTGGCGCTGTTGAAAAATTTCACGGCAGCAAGGAATTGACGTTTGAGCAAATCGACTATGAGTTTCTGATGCGCTTTGAAAACAAGTATTACGCGAAGGGCAATACAGCTAATGGACTTGCGGTTTATATGCGCTCAATCCGGGCAGTTTACAATAGCGCCATCAAAGCGAAGATCGTAGCCAGGGATTTATATCCCTTCCGTGATTATAAGATCAAGACCACGCCAACACGCAAGCGTGCTTTAAGCTTGGAACAGCTTAACCGGATCATAAATCTGGTGCTGGACAAGGACGATCCGTTATTCAGTGCCCGGAACTTTTTCGTCGGCAGCTATATGATGTACGGCATGAACTTCACTGACATGGCGTATCTGACAGAGGCAAATATTGTGGATGGCCGTATTCAGTATCGCCGGAATAAAACAAGCAAGCTCTACGACATAAAGATCATCCCGGCATTGCGTACAATCTTAAATCACTATCGTAAGCAAAGTTCAGGGACAGCACACGTTTTCCGTATCATTAAACGCACTAGTGCAGAAGAACAACGCCGTGACATCGAATGGGCCAGGAAGCGCTATAACAAGAAGCTGAAAGAGATTGCGAAGCTTTGCGGTATTTCCGGCAATCTGACCAGCTATGTGAGTCGCCACACCTTTGCAACGCAAGCCATGCTGCGGAAAATTCCATTGTTGGCGATCAGCGCCATGCTTGGACATTCCAGCGTTAAAACGACACAGATTTACTTGCAGGATTTGCCGACGCAGCAACTGGATGACTACAACGAACAAATTTTGTATGGCGGTCAGGAAAAGAAAAAAGTGAGACAAATAAAACACCAATTACAAAAAGCAGATGTTGCAGTAGCATAGATGGAAGATTCATAACCCTGAGGTCTCGGGTTCAACTCCCGATTCCGCTACTTGAAAATCAAGGCTTTGTGATCAAAAATCACAGAGCCTTTTTTCTTTGGTACAACATTGGTACAACAAATTGTGGTTTAGTGTGGTTTAATGTGCAACAATTTATTGAGTAGATAATCTGAATGAAGTATTACTTCGATCTCACTTTTCCATTCGTTGAACCCATTTTCCTTATGGGTTATTAAGGTAAAAGCAATATCGGTATCCACTTCATTTGCCCCATAGGCTTGTTTGTACCTTGCTCTGCCATCTGCTATTATTTGAGAGATAGATGTTTCGATGCGATCTTTGGCGCAGTCATAGTCACAAGTACTTTTACTGATAATCCAAATATAGGTAGCATGTGAGTTTAGTAATTCCCATATGAAGCAATGTGCTGAGTTTGTTTCGATTGAAAATAGAAAGCCAAAATTAGGTTTTACAGTAAATAGTAACTTTTGTGGTAATTCTTCTTGGTATGTAGACAAGAAGTTGATATGCTCTCTATTTCTTATTTCTGTGTCGCCAGTGAAGTAATCGATTATATTTGTTGATTGCAGCTCTAATGCATTACTCTTATCAAATTCATCTGGTAATTTTTCGATCAAAGATGATATGCTGTGGAGAGAATTGTCATTGTCGTCATTCATGACCGAACTCAATCTCTTTATTTGCCTTTCTCTAAATTGGGCTATTGTTAGTTCATTAATCTGCG